GGTGTCTTGATTTCCAGTTTTTCACTAGAGTTTGAAATGTTTCACATCATGGATAAATGTCAGGTTGAAATAGATATTAGGCAGAGTTGAACTTCCGAAACGGTGGAATATGAGGTTCTCGTTTGTATTTTTGTTGTGTAATTATTGCATAAATAAACTGTATTTTTTGTATTCTCCCACTTACAAGACTTCAAATCATGTACAAACTATATTTATGTACCTACACTCATTAAATTATCGTTACCTTATTACGGAAATATTGATCAGAACTCTTCCACGTATGACGTCGTTATAACCCATTGTAATTTCTTCATTACGATGATGTGCGGTCAGAATTTTATTCTATGTTATTTAATATGTTTCATATTTTTGAAATCCAAATAGTTGAAAGTCAACCGCTTACTGTGTTGTCTTCTGGTGTGCCTATGGGGTTAAGGGACTCGGAAAGCAATCGTTAATTGTTATCCTCAGCTGCTATTTTACTATTATCGTGTCGTCGGTTAGTTGAAATCACTGGTACTAGAAAAACAATCTAGGCGAGTTAATCAATACTTGGAATAGATCAATAAAATTGCTCTCCTGTTTTATGGGTCTTATTACACGGGCTCTAAATATAACACAATAAATCTGTTCATCTTAACCGTCACATCACTATACTAAATACCATAGGCAACAAATATGCTGATAAATATAGCTATGATCAACCGTATCAGGAGAGAGAAAAATATATTCAATGAGAATGGATGACGGTTGCGCAATATCGACTTTTATCTAAAGTTAAACATGTGAACTAATGCGTTTCATTTGAGTGGACTACAGGTTTAGCACTAGAAATGAAACTATTAAGTCCTGATACTAGGTAGAGTTGTGGTTAGTCACTGTTTAAGAATTCCATGCTAGAATGAAACGATTGTCCAGCGTTTCCTAAATTTTAAAGGTTTTCTAACTATGATCTGTCCCGAATATAAACTTTCAAATTCAACAATCTCCAAAAGCATCTGTAACAATCAGGCATTTCTTCAAAAACTCATCCTTATTCACAAACAAGAGAAGCAACTTGTTCATTTACTCTCTTATACTTCCCAAACTGAAAAAGATGTCTACACTGCTTTGAGGATTTTAACTGTGATTATGTTGATACTTAGAAGAAATAAGCTGGTGCTATTTTGCTTACAGTAGAAATCTATCAATCGCTAGTATTCTTGAATTAATCATCTTAACTAATATGAGCAAATGAATAATCTTAACTCTATGTTAAAACCATCATCAAACGTCAAACATTTTTTCAGTTTGGTAAACTGCACTTTTTAAGTTCATCCCATCTTCATAATGCCCCTAGGCACAAAAGTAGAGAAATTAGTTTATTCTGCTGTGACATCACACAGGGCATCTATTATAAGCCTACTCATTAACGAAAAAGTACCCATCTTCTAAACCTCAGTATATCCACTAATATATTGATATTGTACTTTTAATCAATCATCATAAACATTGATGCATTTTATGCCTTAAAAGCACCATTCATTGAATAAAGTTATATTCCAATATGACATCCAAATCTCTAATTACCACATTTATGATTGAAGATGTGATGAAAGCCAGTGACAGGTAACAAAATGTACAAAAAACAAAAACATAATGGTATAAAGAATGTAGCGCCTAAGTGTTTAGCGTAAACTAGTAAATACTAGTGAAATAAAATAATCTTTCAAATGGTTTAGACAAGTGTATTTATGTGGTTTTTTTTTATTTTGTAGTGATTAGTTTATTGGTTCTTTAAAAAGCAGGAATGTTATTTCATAGTTCAAAAAACATCTATAGTTAAACTGGTTGAAAAATAAGTTCCGAACACTTACTAAACTTAGTGTTTAAATCATTCACCAGGTATAGGCTTAGGTGCCGGAGTTAGAGTCAAATATTTATTTTAGGGCCGACGATACCCAACCTTCCAAAATGAAATGGAGTTATGATCTATCCTGTAACCTGTTGGTCAAAATTTGACTACTTTAAACACAGAACCACCCTATTAAATGATGGGTAATTAAGAAACTGATCATTTCTATCATAATTGATGTATGGTAAACACTGAGTTCTTTATTTTAGGAATTAGCGATTGTCTAGCTCTACACATGTCTGGAAATATTTGGATTCAAAATATTTAAAGACTATCTAGGTTTCAACATGGCTAAGACATACTTTTCAGAGGAAAAGAACTGGTTTTAAGTTTACTACAATAAAAAACAAAAATAAGCAAAACTTTCTTTAACTGTCTACTGAGTTTGTCTTTAATGAGTTCGTCAAATTCAGCTTAATTTCCTGAACGATATTCACACACGTAGTCAGCCAGTGGTCCTGTCTTTTGATAGCAAACTATAGGTAAAACCATCTCGAATTATTTCAGAATTTCATCAAACCGACTGAGCTATCGTAAGTGATTACGATGTAGCGGTTAATAAGTCCACAAAATCAATAGCTATGCAAGTCTTTGACATTTGACACTGGCCGCATTAGTTTTAATGGACTCACCTAACTGAATCCGTTTGATCACGCATCCGCATCATATCACGAGTGGGTACACCATGCTACATATCTACGACCGCTAGCCAGCCTATTAAATATATCTTCGAACCTCTTCGCTTCTGACTTTTGATTTGATTGGATTGGCACATTTCGATTATAAAAGGTGTTACGGGTTAGGCATTGTCAAACTCCAAATATCTGTGGCATCTTTAACGAGAACATCTGCTAGGCTACCTTTACGCTGGAGCTTCTTCATTCAATTTTTTAAGCACACAAACTAAACAACTCATTCTTTTATAATGACACGAAACGAGCTTTCAAATATTGTTCCCAAGATTATTTTAGTAGTTATAATCAGCATGTAGTTCGGTAAAACTATTAATCAACCTAAGTTCCTGTAACGAACGAGCATGATGAGATAAAATTTACGAAATGAATTCCACAGAAATCGAGATGATCATTATACTAATAACAGTAAATATGACTACGAATCGAGTATACGGTGAAAAAAGAAAGAATGTACCTGATAATACTAAAACTCAAAACCCAGGAAGAAATAAAAAGTAAAAGCTCCTGTTCGACTGCATTCAAACTTAAGATAAGCCACACTATATCTCCAATAAGTGATTGTAGTTATTGGCCAGGCACCGAGCATATAATCTGCTCAATATAAATTATCAGATGAGTTCAGAAATTCTGCAGACATCAATTATAGGTTCTATTTCGAAAAAAATTTCAGTGATGAAGTTTAACTAATCCACGCTGTCTAATAGTCCTAGTTTTTTTTATAGAAGATCTTAATATCTTTAAGTTTTCCAACATTAGAGTAATAGAACTGAGTAATATCATTTAAATATTTACATAATCAACAATGAGTTATAATTTTGGATGATGGTTAGTTAAATTATTCATTGACAATTTGATTGATGTAGTTCTAGCCTAAAACTTAATAACTGAAAATATTCTCCTTTAACTAACTAACTAACCACAATTACATACAGGGATTTATTAGTAAATAGACATACATTCATAATATAAATCTTTCCAACTTCCCAAATTCGAAACCAGAGACTTTTGACGGAGAGTCTGAGTTACAACTTATCTAGCAAGAGAAAATAATAGTTAGTTTATAATAAATATAAATTTCTTTGAGACTATCAAATCCAACCCTGACATTGATACCTATAACAGTTAGTTTAGTACCAACTTCATACTCAACCACTAATGTAATGAACTGGGTTGCAGTGTTGGATGATCTAACAACTCATCAGTTTATAAAGAATGAATTTTAATCAAAGGAATTAATAATTTTTTCGACGTAAAGCACTTAGAATAAAATTTAAATAATCTTGTTAGTTTTAGTCCAACTTCAACTTATTAAGAGAAACGTACCGTAGTTAATTTGTACAAGTCTTACTGTAAACATGTTTTATCGGTATTGAATTACTTGGCAACGAACACGCCAGACATTGAAAACTATTTTTCTATTCACTAATTATTTGAATTCATGTGCTGACATGAAATATTATTTTGTCGAATAGAGAACAATTTCGATACTGAACTGTCCACTACGATGGGTTATAATATATCTAAGATTATGGTGACTAACAATTGATTGTTGTATTACAGAATTGTGACAAATAAAATAATGAGTAAGTCATGATTACTACGATATTTTAAAAATGTAATTACAGTCGGTAGATAACAAGATAAACATTTAAAAAGTATAACTGTAAGTCATAACGTAGGACAAGTGATGTTGCGTTTGAGTATAGGCGTCTTTACAGTTTATCGCACATATGTATGTCTAAAATATTTCTTTTATTTAAACAATAACCATTATTGCTCCGACTACATTCGATTGATAAGTACAACTATTGACTTATAGGAGTTTGAATAATCGGCATTACTATTGACAATGTATAGTTGTTTTCCTTGTTGATTGATAATTGGATAATTTCCTTACCGTTTACAGATTTGTCAGAGAAATAAATTATAAATCCTTAGTCCTCACTATATCCCCTTATTCGACACTGACTAATGCACAGTAGATTGGTAGTATTCATCACGTTAGCTTTTCAGATTCCATGCATTTGAAATTATTCTTATTAATTTCTTTTGTGAGTTATTACATCTATCTAAACATTAATTAAAATACATTTTTGGACCTCAGTTGAGTGGGGGATATTTTTTTAAATCTAAAACCACATACTTTGGTCTGGTCGCCTGATGACTTCTTGTCAAGTATGATTTCTTAAAACGCTAAGCTTCGCGACACTAGTTCATTATTGTTGAAGAGCGTGGAAAACTTGGTAGGAGAAACATTTATGAAATCACATAAAGACCGTATTGTTTCTTAAAGCACAGATAATAAAAACAACTTCCGTAACCAACCCGTAATCCATCGGGTCAACTACTAAACGATATGTAGTCAGACCATAAAAAACCACCCCAGCTAAGAATACCCTCTATCCGCTCACCATTTGATCAATTTATTGCAATCATACCTTATAGACCTATTTTTGCTTGATCGTCAAACCCCTTCCCCTCTTTAATTAACAGATTCTTTATCTGTATGATTTTTTGATGTATTTCCTATTATATTTAACCCATTTCATGATTAATTACCTTAACGTTTTATGAACACACAGTGGTATTTAAGTATGCCATCAAAGCAAAACCCTGATTATCCTAGGTGGCTGGAAGCAATCAACAGGAACTCCAAGAACTAGGTTTCGCGCTAATCAGTACCATTTAATAAAGTGTGTCTGAAGTCAAGACGGATTGTTATTTTAAGGGACTCTAACCTGACCAACAAAATTAGGTCTGTCTGTACTATGAGGCGATTAAACAGAATGGTATACCCCTAAATAATCAACTTATTTAAGACTAGTACATTCATAACTTAAAAGCAAGCGGCTTTGTTCGCTTTTATTAGTCAGTTTCTGACTAGTTTTGGAAACCTGAGTAATGTAATAAGAACAGTCGATATGTTGGATAAAATTAGCTTTAAAAACGTATTACTTGTACACCACTTTTCATTTATATGACCGAGAAATAAATTATACTAGATGTTAGTATATTTTCATTGGTTAAATGGTGGTTAACTCTAAAAAACAGCCTACTATAGAGAATACATTTGTACAATGTGCCTTTCTCTATGAAGCACATATGATAATAATTGTACTAAATAAACTGCTTCTCCATCAGTTGAACACACTATTGCAAATGAACACAATTTAATAAATAAACTATAATCCGAAAATGTACAAAGTAATAATATATTACGTGTATTGTGAACTGTTCACCGAAATTTTTAAAAATGTACATTATATTTAAAGTTAAGTCATATTACCACTGTCATAGTTAAATAGTACATAAAGTGAGGAGACCAAAATCCACTTATCTGTTATGCAATCACTAGTCACAAAACTAATTGTGAGCAAATATATAAATAACAAAAAACACTGAGGAAAAAAAGGATTGGCAATCCACTAATGTGAACATGGAAATAAAGAATGAAGAAACCAATGAACATACATCTTGAAATTCCAAAATAGCAAATAATGAATATAATCCACATGGTATCAATACAAAAAACAACGCTTAAAAAATCATATTTCTGAAGCATCTGTATAGATCTGTTGATAATGCACAAATTTAACAGATAGACTGAAAATAAAAAGGCAATAATAATAATAACAGTGTAGAATATAATAAACATCAAAATGATTTTCAGGATTCAAACAGAGAGGAGAGGGTAGGAAAACAGAAAGGAAGGGAAGAATAAAGCTACATTGAGCAACGATGACCCAACACGTTTTCATCCAAAAGTGAGCTTTGAGAAAAAAGGAAGAAAAAGAAATATACGAGGAATATACTTCGAATATAATATACACGAATAGAAAAAGTCATTTTAAATTACTGACTTTATTGGAACGACCAAGTTTCTCAAGTTTACAAACACAAACATAACCTGAATATATTGTTAACCACTTAAATGAAATTGTATTGTATTACCCTTAAAAATGTAGACGAACTGGGTCTAACACCGAAGATAAATGATCAAGTTTCTATACAATCACTGGTTCTTCCTCTCAAATCTTCCTGAAGAGAGCACGGAACATTAATACAATTACCTCTATGTCTGGCATTAGTGTTTTAGTCAATATGTTGTTCAGTCCTGATGCTCTCCCCTTTCGATCTGTCCGATGGTTAGGCTGATTTTTTGGGTTGCTGGTAAGATAACATCTATAGGAAAGTCTGCGTGTGCTGCTTCGATGTTCAGTGGGACTGGCCTATTCAAGAGTTCTTCAAAGTGACCTACCCATCTGTTCCGCTGTGTTTGGATCTCAGTGATTGGTCTGTTTTCTTTGTCCTTGATAGGTTACTTTGGTTTACCATATTTTCCGAATAGCCTCTTCATTGTATCATATAGTTGTCCCATATTTCCTTCTCTTACAGCTTTTCCTGGTGTCATTGTTAGGTCTTCTACATAATTACTCTTTTCATACTTAATGCTCTTCTTTTGTTTGTTTGCTTCAGTGCCTCTAGCTTGAGGCTTGGCCGCCCCTGTTGTTGTGCGGTTGTTGCTGAATGCAGTCTACTACTTCTTATCTTGAATCTTGGTCAGTGTCAATGGAAATCAAATATTTATGTTGGTAATTCTTGATGCCTTGCACCCCCTTACATATCAAAGTTATTGCTTCTTTATTTCCTTTACAGTTGTCCTCCACAGTGGTTTGTTCATCTTCTAGTAGAGTTGTAAGGCCTGGAACTTGTTACTGAGAGTTATTTTGAATTCACTAAGTATGTTAGCACCTCGAAAGGAGGCTATATTTGACTTCGTAGTGCTCTTTGGCAATTATCCAATGCTTCTTTAACTTCAGGCTTAGCTCGGCCACAACGAGGTGGTGATAAGAAGCTATATACGTTCGTCTCTTTATTCTTACGTATTCCATGAACCTGAATTTTTAATTGATGCAAATGCAATCGCTCTGGTTTTCTGTAGTGTGGTTTAGTGACATCCCTGTGGCTTTTTACATGCGTTTGTGGGGAAAATGTTACCACCTATAGCCATGTTATTGAAAGCAAAGATGTCTCAATTTTTCGCCATTCCGTTCCTTTCTAACAGTTTATGTCACACTATCAAAGCTTCATACCCGGTATTATCTATTCCGGCCTTGGAGTCTAGGTTCTCTATCACGATGGGTTGGTATTTTCCTGGAGAGTCCTCTCAGATGCAGTGCAGCCTCTTTGTTGCTATTATTCTTGGATGCGTAGCACTGAATGGCATTCACTCTAATCCCTTCCTTCTTTGTTCTACAGGATAGATGCTTTGATCTTTCAGCCATGTGATTCCTATTCTATAAGTCCTTTTCGTACTTCTTTGAACACCACCAGACCAACTCCTTGTGTGGTAGTATTTTTTCCCTCATGACCAGTATACAATAGCACCTCCTCTCCCGAAGCTAATCTCCGTACAACTTGTGTTCAATAGACTTCACGTACTTAAAGTAGATCCGGGTTTTGTCATCACACTTCTGTCACCATATGAATGATATTTCGAGTCTGCTACAATTTCCGGACATTCTATGTGCCTATATTAACTCCTATTTTGATTGTTAGAAGAGGGATAAGCCTTATAGCTTTCGAAGAGTCACAGCTTTCATCATTAGATGTCATAACGTTTTTATATGAAGACCTTTCAAAACCCAGTGCAGAGTAAATGGTTTAAATGACCATTTCTGGTTGGTGTTTTTTGAGCAACGTCCTCTCTTACCAAATACGATTGCTAATCTTACACCCAACCCTCCTTCACCTGGGTCGGAACCGGTAGTAATTCCAGAAGGGTCCCAGGAGGAGCCTTTCTATTATTATCTTACTCTGAATAGTTGAAAAAAACAATTGGTAAATTTATCTTGAAAACTTAAATATACTCATTTTTCAATAACTTACAATTTCAAGGAATTTGTTCATTAGTATCATTAGCTAACTTTAACAAAATACAATAAGTATATTTAAAGTTATTCATTAAAAATTTCGTTCAGTAAAACAATAAACTATTTGAGTCGACCAAAATTGTCAATTTACCTACCTCTACTAAATTATACCAAAGACTAAGAAATTTTTCGATGACAATAGTAAAACCGAGTAACATAAATTGAAGATTAAATATTACACATGATTAAGGAAAATAATCAATGAAAGATCTCAAAAACTTACTTCGAACGCCATAAAAGACAAGCGTACGCAACAGCCGCAACATAATCAGTAGAGAAGCATATTACTATAATGGAACAAAATGAAATAATAAGAAATGTTTGGATGTTCAGTATTGAACTAAAAGTAGAAAATAATCAACGTTATTATTAATCTAAAGATCCATATACTATGTATATATTCCCAAAGTACATGCGAAATTATAAACAATGTGACTAAAGTAAGTTTGCAAGTCAAGTGATCATAACCCATTAAATTGCCATAAAGAAGTTGATTACACTTAGAAACTACCGATTCATTGGCTCTTTAATAGTTCATAACACATCAACATCAGTAAATTGTTATTCATAAAATTCACCCCTCAAAATTTAACTGAAAATTACACATTTTTCAAAAAGATCTAAAGAATATTCAATGTTAATCTACGTTCAGATACAGCTTATAATAATACATACATATTCTAGCTAGTTCACTATGTAACCATAATACATATTAAAGATTAATAATGACAATCTCATGGTTATGAAATCAAATTGGCTAATTAAACTTTTATCTCACAAAGATAAAAGTTCACATGTCTAATAATAAACAAACAAATTATTTTATTTATTTATTTGGACACATAAATATTAGTACAAGAGGGCACCAAATACATATGCGCAACACCATATGTGTGTGTGGGTTGTGATACTGCCCGGGTGCCCAGACGAAGCAGGTGGTTCTCTTAGAGGGCCACACCCCGAGCCTTTGACCTAAAGGTCTGACCCACAAGGCAGTGGAGCATCATAAGGAGATGCGGTCCCATGGTAGCCAGTGACCAACAAAAGGTTCATACGCCATTTGTTCCTTCAAGATACTGGAGCCCATGTGCACCATTGGTTCGGGATCCGGTTAAAGTGCCGGATATTCGCTTTTCGTCCTCTCATTTTCGTAAACAACACCCACCACGATAAGGCAGTGAGTAGGACTTCCCTGGCAGAGGCTGTATACGCGTGGCCGTGTGTAAGCATTACGAGAGGGAGAGAGGGCCCACCCCAATCTCGGCCATACCAGAGCATTTGAGGACAAACAAACAAACAATATTCAATGGATATTTAGTTAGATGAACAATAATGGAAGAAATAGATACTTGACAATTTAATAAATTGTTAAATACAAAATCCATACAAACCAATAGTGTCATGTTATGAAACATTAAAAATCTTTATTTTAAAAAAAAATCAGATGAGTTCAAACTAATCAATAGTGTAATTTTTTCATGATCATGTCACTTAATGTTGAAATATGACAACAACAAAAAATACTTCTAAGAAATGAGATAATCCAAAAACGTATTCAGTTCAATAAAGTCAATCATAATAAGGAATTACATTCAACAGTATTATAATAAATATGTTCACCTAGATAACGATGAACAAATAAATCTTTAGAAATAGATCGTAATGTTTAAGATCGAGAATTTCTTTGAAACATCATCAAGTTAACTAACATTTTCACACTTAACTCAAACTACATCTATCTCATTTTAAGCTCACACAATCATTATAAATATTGTCATTCTTAATTGTTTGAACTGTAAGGTTAAAATTTCAAAATGGAGTGGTCAGTGATTATAGGATTTCGTAGTGTACTTTTAGCTGTTTTATTATTTGACAAAAGTTAACAACTAATAGATCAAACTCTCACTAAGATTTTTTAATGGATTGAACTTTGATGACTTTTTCTGAGAAGTTACTGCGTACATTTATACAGTATCAACTGTCTAGGCATTTGTTTTGATAATTAGATTTCACTATGCTGATATGTGGCAGCTTGAACTGATGTACACATCCAGTAAGTTCTACGTTACTTATGACTGCTGTTTACAGTATATTATTTGTAATATATTATTCAGTGATTTCTTGTAAATAAATATATTCACACTGTACCAGTGACACAAACTAGTGTCTTATGAGTGGACATAAGTGTTGTAAGAGACTCAACTGATTACATATAGAAATTTCAATAAGTAATCAGGTACAGTCAATAAAACTAGCCACTTGAGCTAGCTAACTAACTTCTCACAAATAATAAAACAAATACGCATATACATTACTGTTTACTTGACAATTTGAGAGATTACCTCTTATGGTATTCGAATATCTTTCTAAGAATTTGTTATTTTCACTTCCTATGTTCACAATAGACTAGGTGATTTCTGAGAAACTAAACTTAAGATATCAACAGTTCACGAAGGTAGTGTCAAATTTAGCACCAAGTTTATTTTTAACGCCTGCCACAGGGAAACCGTATTAATTGAGTGAACAGGACAACTCTCTTCAATACAGTACGAAAAACTGAGTAATTATTATTTAGTACCCATATGAAGGTTTCTATCCTAAGCTACAATATATAACAGTTGTAGACACCATTAAAACTAACCTCCAAGTTAAATAGAGTCAGGTGAACCGACTTTCTGTTGGCACCTTAGAACTGAGTATTAACATTAGTGAGCCGATTTTTAATGTATATTGATAACATTACACTCAAAGATATGAAAAAAAATGTAGCATAGGATTTGTGTATTATTTCAAAAATAGTGTTGCGTTGGTTAAAAGTCGATACTTTTAACTCAACAACAAAGTTCATTTACTTAGCTTATCATCAAACTCACCATACAAGGGCTTATTATATATACTACATTGTAAAAATGAAGTGCGTGGGTGGGGAATGGTCAAAAGTTAAGGTAGCAAAAGCTAACAAAGATCAAATGACTTTACCAACTACGAAATTCAACTCTCCAGATAAATACTTACTTGATATAGTTTTTGTTCGCCACAAGGGAGATACACTCGTCTCACCGATAAACACTACTAATGGTAAGATAACAATCCACAGGAGATAACCAGCGGCAAATTGCATTGTATTAATATTTGGCCCCAAGATACATAGATCCATATTGTACGACTCAGAGCAAATCTGTGCTATAAAATGCCTGCGTCCTACAACTACTAATATCCAGAACACTAGGCAAATTCTTAAGGCTAACAATAAGCAACCAGGTACTGTATTCCAAACAGAAAAATCGATTACAGGGTCTCTATCAAACTAAAAGAGATAAGAAAAAATGAACCGTTACAGAGAATGTCTTACAAGTAATTTAATAATTTTAATTGAATTAAGTCTAGTCACAAGAAACGTTGCACAATAATTTTATCATTGAAGAGTGACTTAAAATGGAGTTGAATATATTTGCTCGGTGATGATTCTATAAATTGTCCTCAATGTACTGTCTTTTTTAATCTATTTAGTTATTTAATCTAATAAGAATTTACGAAGAGAACTAACTCTATGCACAGTCAGTGGATACATAGTTGAAACAATTAATCATCTCCGTTTTTAAGCAACGTTAACACAATTAAGTCAAGTAATAACAAGAGACCAACCGCGAATGTTCGTCAATATAAGTTTTCTTCAAATCAGTATAAAGGACAAAAGCAATTGACAACATGAAAGGCAAACAAGTCGAAATAACAATTTTAATCATAGTAAAAACTAAGAATATAGGAAATATAGTTTGGGAAGAATGATTGAAATCGGAAAAAGGAAAGCATTGATTAGCATTAAAACTCAAGATTTAGAAAAAGTTGGAGAATGAATAGTATTCCGATTGAATTTAAACCATTTCACCAAAAGTATTCCCGACTACGGATTACAAAATATGTAATTTACAATGAGGTTGATAAACCCACTGTAAACCAATAAATCATACTTTAAACTACCACTGGTGAAATCTTTAAGTTTTTTTTTCTATTAAAAAATTAGTGGTGCTCTTTAAGTTGAAACTGATAATTTTACAAATAAATCACTCAACTCATGAAATAAAATACCCCCATAATAATACCTTCCAATAAATAAAATGCTATAGCAGTTACCTGACTGGTTGTTGCCATCTACAATAGTTATTGATAAGAGAAAGGATCTTGCATGATGAACAAAAAGAACTTGTATTAAGTCTCGTTAATGAGAATAACAAATGAAAAGTTTCTCCAGAATAATAGTAATAATAACTAAACCTTTAAATAATTTGATCATAAAATTACCAAATTTTCACAAAAACTAATTACAATAAAATTTCTTTTACTTTTTCCGAACTGAACTTAATGGAAAATGTTGACCATTCAATGTTAATCCTTATGATCCTATGTTAATACTATGGAACTGATTGTAGAGAATGATAATTGGTTTAAAATCATCAAAATGAAGACTCTGTATGCGTTTTTTCTTTGTGACCAAGCAACCCACTACAGATGGGAGTGTTTGGTTAAAGTCACAATTTATGTGACAGACAGAAATACTGAAGGACTTCTTAAACTAAAATAACTGCGCTAAAGCCCGAATCTTTTTACCCCATTCCAATGATTAAAAATCAAATACTTCAACAAATGAGCTACCACTTAAATTGATATGCACAAAAAGAACAGATGAAGTGAAATTCTACTCCACCACTTCAAAAGCTCGCGAGCAATGAGAAGTTGGCTGTCACGGAAGTGATTTCTCGGTTATAAAGTCGATTAAAAAGGGATAAGCTTGTCTAAATCATTGGACAAACAGAAGAGTCAGAAATCTGGTCAAAGTAATAAGTTACAAAACATTGACAATTTACTTGAATCTTTAAAAAATCACCTAAGATTTTTGTTTTACATCAAATATTGACCAGGAACTATTCACTCTCCAATTGGTGATTGATAGTTATCATAAAGATAAACACTTAAATTATAACTAGTGAATAACTTCATAAACACCAAGTTTATATTACAACTGTAGAAATATTACAAGTAATCGTTATTAGCAATCAAGAAAATAAATGTACATTCATTGAGATTCTAATTCCGACATGTATTCAAGGCATCTCTCGTATATGACTATTGGTCAGTGATACTTATGCTTCAGGATCATATCAGCCGCAAGCTTTATATCAAATTCTAACGCTACAATGAGTACAACAATACATTTCACACAAGTACATACAAACATTAAGAGGGAAAAGTATGAACTAAAAGTAGTAGTATCGACAGTAGCAGAAAATGAAAAAACTCACCATAGCCCATATATACAGTAAAGTTTTGACTCCGACCAACAGAGTAACCAATAAAATTACATATGGCCAAAATGATGTGGACTTTTCCTGATTAGTTGATGGCCTAGCATAAATCTTTTCTTGGATAGGATCGTAACTGTACAATTTATGACTAAATTTACCAAGATGGAGGAATCCGGTTGGTAAAGTGGAAAAAACTTTGGAGGTTGGTGGACGAAGAGCTTTGGAAGTATCACAAGATTGGAATGCGATTGACGGACATTGAGGACTGAAACCCATTTGACATGTACACAATAGGACAGCTAGGAACACTGAGTCTGCCCATTGTGTAATTACTGTTCCCAGCTCTGAAATCAGACCTAGTCCCAGACCATCGAATGAAAAAACACCCCAGTGAACAGCAGCCAACAGTGTTCCCAGACTAGCCAACCAAAGATGAGTAAGGTAGAGGCAAACATGAAGTGAACGGTTGTTGGCCAGTTTGATCTGCATCAAACAAAACAAAATTTCTTAATAACAATAAAACAGAACAACGATAATAAGTCGTCTACATTATTCTACAAAAAGATCGACGGTTAAACTAGGAATTATTTTGAGTGTAAATGTAATCAATAAAGAACTGATGCCAGTAGAGAAAAAAATACAAGTGTTATTAATATCGTCAATAAAACAATCTCCACGAACGAATCAAGGAATATAACCATATACGAATGGGCAGAAAAAATGAGCATCTTGATTAACAGATGCTTTTTCTTTTGATATATTACAAAAGGGTTTTGTGTTTGGGGATGAGAAGTGCATTTCAAGCATTCCAGCATTGTTATTTAGCATTCAGAAGATTGGATCAAATCGGGATATTCACTTATTACGACGGTGCTGCATACGTGGTTCTCGATGCATGAAATCCAAATATATATTAAAAAATTTAATCAAATTGAGTAATGGGCAACACTAATGAGCAAATCTTGATATAGTCACGTTAGATCATATTTAACTGTGAACTACAACCCCACCACGAATTTTTAAGTAAAAAGCCTTCACTAATATGGTTTCCTTGCAAAGCACCGACCTCGATGTAACAGAACTTTATAAGTTTTTTTAGTCAACAGTGTTATGTCTTCAAACAAAGGAATATAGTTAGAGCCAGACGTAAACCACTAACCGAGTATTCGTACCAATAATTCTCGATTGAGATAGGCGTTGTTTCCATAACTTTTGTCTTCATCAGCCAACAATTTCAATTCTTAATAATCTCCTCGAATTTTTTAACTGTGCGCTTACCGTTGAATAAGGCGCTTGCATTCTAGAAAACTGGTTCTAAAGGACACCAAAAAATTTTAGAACTACCTGCTCATTTTCTCCTGTATCAAAGTCGATTGGAGCAAAGGGTACACCATTTGTTTTCCTTTGTTTTTTAAGTAGTTGAGGTACAAGTACAAGATTGGCTGAGGTATTTTGTGTTGCAAGAACCCTTGTGCTGATATTTTGATTGGCGTAGTATGTGATGATAACGCCCTCATTTAAAAACACCTATGTCTACACTGCGTAATAATAATATACAACAACTAAAACATTTCAAAAATAGCTCCTTCACTTCTTTCCAGCAAACAATACTAGTAAGTCATAGAGTAGTTTACTTTATTTAAATTATTTGCTAGTTTTTAATGAATTGTTACTAACCATATATTACGAGGAATATTTAAAAAGCTTAAACGAATGTTCTTTTCTCTAAATATGTAACGACACCTAATTCAATACAATACTTGAACATAATGATAAATTATAAACGGCCAGTTAAAACGTACATGTGTTGTTATATTCAAAATAATATAGAGTGACAGAAATATAAAAAACATTTGTGCGATTCCATGTGTTTCAAAAGAGAAATGATGTTCAAATTGATTGAAAGACTGTAATTTTGGTTCACCATTAACAAGCCATATATCATAAATCACTGTTAATAAGGAATAAGTTAATGACGATGATAATGATGAATTTGAATGACGAGGAATTGCAGTAGTCTCCCATTTACATGTAGTTAAATTACGTTTACATGCGACCAAACTCAAATACCAATAACTTTATATAAAAGGGAAAATAAATCTAAATTTAAATTACACTAATCAATGAAAAACCATTTCGAAAAATTTCATTCCTTCTATATTACGTCAACTACCAAATTAAAAATGAACTTTGCCAATTACCATAAGACGGAGCAAATTGCAGCTACTTAGCTACCGAATAAATTTATTATTTATATTCTAAATACTAACTTGAAGGATGAATCAATACAAAATTCTGGTAAATGTTACATTTTACTTGTAAAAGACATATAACAAAAATATATGGTGCTTTTAACTTTACCGTATATGACCGTATTATCATCTAATGATAGGTAGTATTCATAGACACTTTTTACTGCGTTCATTTTTGTGGATAGTATGAATGAAGCACAAGACTTACTTATCACACATTGTTTCCTACTATATAAATAAATGATTCTTAATTCAACATAGAAAGCTTGGGATAATCTTGTTATGAATTCAAAAATACTGCATCTCATTTAAAAATTTTTCTTCTAACATGAATTTTGCTTTGATTTTATTAATCTTCATCTCAAAAATCTTAGCTATTGTTTGCAGAGAGTTACCAAAAAATTTCCGTTTACTTTGGTGTATGAAACTTTTTTATTCAATCTATCTGACACATTTGGTCAATCAAAAACCAACCAAATGATAAGTGAACGTGATTGGTCAAGGAATGGGTTGTATCTATACGATATATATATGAGTACTTACATTCTCGTCTAGACTTATTCAATAAGTTTCCTTCTCACTACCAGTCTTTTCACTCAAGAAGTCAGTTGGACTCGTGTATAGGAAGATTACGTATCAGTATCGAATTTCGAGACCGAACGTCACAACGCTGTCCAATTCACGAGTACTTTGAAATCATTTTTAAGATTGCCTCATGTTTTAGAACAAATGTAGGTAAAAGACAACATAAGAACAAGTTCAAGCGTAATGAAATGTTCGCTAATTGATATCGAAATCCAAAGAAAATTCAAAAAACAAATAATAGTACTAAGGGTGATGAAGAATACAAGGACGACGGAAACAGGTAAACACAGGAAATTAAAAGCAACAAACAGAACGTTCAAAAACAGAAGAAAATCAGTGAACGATAATCAGTTACTGCATAGTGACTAGTTACTAGTACTGGTCGAATTACACAAAGTTTGTAATGTGGTCAATAAGTGAGTATGTATTGTGATGCAGTTGGTTTCATGTTGCGTAATTGATGCCAGCCGGTGAAAGCTTTAGGACTAAGTTTTTGGCTTGTTGGGATTTATCAACACGCTAAATGGCGAGAACATTAGACATTGTAGATCGGTTTCTATACTGGCAGTGATTCAGACCGCGAAAATCCCTCACCTAAGATGAACAATCAAAAATATGAGTTTCTACCTGAAACTACCCACAACTTTAGCTGCATATAAAAAATCATCCCATTTATTTGAGGAATGCACATGTACATATCTGAGCTATATCTTTCAAAATAATCAAAATAGGAATTATACACAACAAATGGTTGAGTGAAGTTTGTTTACATACATTCATGTAATTAATTAAATCGACTCATTCTCCAGGTGCTTGAGTATGAGCCACACTTCAAGTATGAAGGTTAGTGAAACTCCCTGGTTGCCCAAATCGAAACAAGTGGAACGAGGTTCGAACCTGGAACTTAGTGACTGAAAGTCAAACATCCGAACTACTAAGTCACCGCCACCGATTTATTCAATGGTACGGATGTAACACGGACATATATATGTACGCAGTGGGATTGACAATGAAATGTGAAACAGAAAAAATCCATAAACAAATAACAATAATTTAGTCATTTTGTACTATAAGGTTTTATTAGTAATATATTACCTATGGTTTTTATGAGTTAGATGAGAAAAGTTGGTAAGATGAAGCACGTTTTCTCCAGTTTAACTGGTTACAATTTCTTACTCGATAACGTGAAAATTGACAGAATAACAAAATAAAATACTAGGCATCTTAAAATGGCAGCAACTGCACAGGTCTTTGGTACATCTAATACTTAAACAATATCCAAAGTATTTAATTGTGACTACCTTTTCATACAATAACATTACAGGATTTCTAAATTATCACTTCCAACAAAATACAATAAACAATGAACCAGTTGTTTGATTTTAAGTACAATCGAAACAAAATTAGATTGATTGAATTTCAGAAAAAAATACACGACATTTATACAAACCGTGGTTGCCGAAGGTCTTGCACAATAAAAGTAAATTGTGAATTCGGTACTACACTTTCAGGATCATCCTCCTCCGCGCAAAGCCCAGATGAAGAACAGGGTACGGATCGAAGTAAATCCATTTCTCCTGTGGGGGAACACGTTTTGTGCCAAGCAAGAGAGTTGATTTTATCAAACATTTTGTTGCAACGTTCAGTTTCTATGAGCCACTGACTTTCCTGATATGTCGTACCAGTTACATTTTGTGTCCATATTGATTCTGTGGCGTTTCCATAAAGATCCATAATGAACTCACCGTCAACCAAAACCAATGTAGCAAGGTCTGTCAAATTATGTGCTGTAAGACAAAGTAAAATAAAATAAACATCTATTTCATGCGATTTCCAAGTTTCACGGGTTACAGAATGATTAGTTAAAGCTAATACTTAAATTAACAGAAATGTGAATTGGAAATATTAGTTAAGCTTTTTACTCTTCTGTTCAGTGTTTCCTAGCAAACATCGAAATAAAAAGCATGAGTGTATTATAAACACTACTCGCCATGACCATCTTAGATGGAAACTTTCATAACATTTCTAAGTGACCAGGAGTCTTGGGAAAGAGCTCTTATCGACAACTGCATTACTAAATTGTAGATCTACATAATTTTCATTTGAAGGTCAAAAAGTACAAAATGATGGGGAACTAAGATATACCTATGTCCAAAATTCCTATACACATTATTAGTGTGGTGTCGGCTACTTATACAAATAAACAATTAGTATGTAGTGGGAATTGGAAGTGGAATACTTACCAGCAGAAGGTTGACATAAAGAAAAGAGGAAAGAAAACAGAGTAATCGGAAGAGCAACATGATTGGAAGAATAGTGGAATATGTGAGGGACAACTTGATGATATATTTAATGCATGATCTTGGTATTTCACCAAAGCAGTTTGATTTTGCATAAAGCAATATACATATTGGTTTACGGTACATGAGTTTTCATTCACTACATTAGGACCGGAATTCATTAATTATCCTAAATTCTTCATTTACAAGCCCCGGTTAGGCACTGAATGACAACCGACTATTCTAAATGCCCTGGTAAAGACGAGAGTAGTGAGAGTCAGTTCTCCCTCTCGAAATGCTCTCACATGACCACGTGCATACAACTACTGCCAGGGAAGTCCTACTCTGCCTTCTCGTGGCGGGGTTGTTGCTCACAAAATTGAAAGGACGAAAAGCGAATATCCAGCTCTTTAACCGGATTGGTGGACACGGAGAGTTCACCTAGGGGAGTTGGAAAACCCTGATTCCAAACCAATGGTGCACATGGGCTCCAGTATCCTGAAGGAACAAATGGCGTATTATTATTATTATTATTATTATTATTATTATTATTATTATATTATTATTATTACGGGGGAAACAGAAACGTACAATCAGAAGAAATCTTTCAGTTAAGGAAGAAGCAACCACTTTTTATGAAGAAAGTAAAAGAGGTTACAGCAGGATCGCCACTGGTTTCTATTCTGAGCCATATCTGATAACGTTTCTAGCCACTGTGTTGCACCATCTCTAGGACCCCAACCAGGGAGTCGTGAAAGACCAACAGAAGCCAGTCCCTTACAGCTTTCTTTCATACCACGACACCATGTCATGCACTGACCACCTCTCCGCCTCTTCCAACCAGTCCCAGTATCAACAAATAATGCACGACGTGGAATTCTCTGGGACGACATTCGTAGAACATGTCCAAGCCACCGAAGTCGGTGTTTCAAGATGGTGACACCAATTGCATTTTCGTCTCTGTGACCGAACACACGATGCCGAACCTCTGCATTACTAACATGGTGTTGCCAATGGATGTCAGCAATCCTTCGGAGACAGCGATGATCGAACACAGAAAGTCGTCTAACATCCTCAACTCGGAGAGACCAGGTTTCACAAGCATAGAGCAAAACTGCTCTCACCGACGCGTTGTAGATCCGGCCTTTTACAGCCAGACTAACATCACGAAGGCGCCAAAGATGGCCCAGATTGGCATAAGCCGCTCTGGCTTTCACTATACGTGCATTGATCTCATCACTCACGCCACCACCAGCACTTATGCAGCTACCCAGATACACGAACTTCTCGACTACTTCTATCTGCTCACCATCCAGGGTGAGTACAGGATTAGAATCCTGTCAGTCTTGTAGAAGTACTTTGCACTTCGAAGGTGCAAAGCACATACCATACCTACGGACACTTCCACATTGCAGCCCCCAAATGCCCTGGTGGGGTGGGCCCTCTCTCCCTCTCGTAATGCTTACACACCGCCACGCGTATACAGTCTCTGCCAGGGAAGTCATACTCACTGCCTTCTCGTGGCGGGTGTTGTTTACGAAAATGAGAGGACGAAAAGCGAATGTCCGGCGCTTTAACCGGATCCCAAACCAATGGTGAACATGGGCTCCAGTATCCTGAAGGAACAAATGGCGCATGAACCCATCGTTGGTCACCGGCTACCATGGGACTGCATCTCCTCACGATGCTCCACTGCCTTGTGGGTTAGAGCTTTAGGTCAAAGGCTCGGGGTGTGGCCCCCTAAGAGAACCACCTGCTTCGTTCTGGGCACCCGGGCAGTACCACAGCCCTCGCACAAATATGATGAACTGACGATAATTATGGAAAATACTTTTCTTAAAAAACAATACAAAAAATACAAAAGGAACCAACTAACAAATCGTGTAACTCACTATTTGACACGTTTTCTAGCTTCACTGTCCCATAAATATAACCCCTTGTGGCCTCAAGTTCATCAACTTGAGTCCGTTGAAAGCCAAACTTTGTCAAAAACAAATATCTGTTGGATGGATTCCATTTCCCCTTAAGACGTAATGTGTTTACCGCATCAGTGATTAATAGGACGGTTAAAATACCTATCTACAGAATAGAAACAAATTATATAACCTTCACTACCATTGTTAGAAATATTCGACACTTAAGAACTTCTGCGTATATGGTTTTGTAAATTTCAAAATAACGTAACAAAAAACCACAAGATGTTAACTAAAGATAGGTTAGCAGAGAGTTTACGAAACACTCAGTTATATGATTTGACAGTATTGTTATGATTTGAACACATGGATATTGGTACAAGGAGGCACCAAATACATATGCGCCAAAAAATCTCATTTGGTTTGTGCGAGAGCTGTGATACTGCTCGGGTGCCCAAACCGAAGCGGATGGTTCTCTTAGGGGGCCACACCCGGAGCCTTCGACCTAACGGTCTGATTCACAAGGCAGTGGAGCAATGTCAGGAGATGCAATCCCATGGTAGCCAGTGATCAACAATAGGTTCATACGCCATTTGTTCCTTCAGGATACTGGAGCCCATGTGCACCATTGGTTTGGAATCAGGGTTTTCCAACTCCCCTAGGTGAACTCTCCGTGTCCACCAATCCGGTTAAAAAGCTGGATATTCGCTTTTCGTCCTTTCAATTTTGTGAGCAACAACCCCGCCACGAGAAGGCAGAGTAGGACTTCCCTGGCAGTAGTTGTATGCACGTGGTCATGTGAGAGCATTTCGAGAGGGAGAACTGACTCTCACTACTCTCGTCTTTACCAGGCCATTCGGGGGCTGTGGTAACAGTAAGGATTAGGCATCGACGATATGAATCGAGAAAATATAAATTAATGAAATGAAAATAAATAAAGGTTGTGAGGAATTTAGAATCTGAGTTTGGGGAAAGACAGAGAATAGATGCACTTGCACCATGGCATAATATTTGGAGCCATGTCACTCGAAGTCTCTGACCATTGGTTACGATAACGACGCAGACCCAACCAGGTAGCCTATACCTATTGACATGCTTAAGTTCGATTGTCAGTGATTTCTTGGACGGATACTATGTTTTGGTTCGGCCACTCCAAGTTTTCTTCCAAACTACTGCACCAGAAAAAAACAGTAAACACCATAGTTCATCAAGATGAACAGAAATCATACAACTCATAAATGCAACTGCATAGCCTCTTTGAAGCTCAAAGTGTAGAGCTTTCACTTGTGTAAGGAGAATTTAAACAAGGATATAGGTATAACCACTACGGGCTCTTCCAACAGCACATGCTAAAGTGAACAAGTGCGAAATCTGAAGAGAAACGAGGATGCAAGTTTACGAATAACGATCACAAACGATATTAGACATACTCTAGAATGGCTTAGTGGTTTTTGAATGTTATGATGAGTCCTCAACTAAAACCAGATTTAGGAAATAGAAGCCTTTACGATACACACACTCATTACACCTAGCAAACTTTGTTACTATTCACTTAATAGGCTTGATATTGTGGGATATCAATTGTTTGAACAAACTAAACTACAGAACTCCGTGGATCGATACTAATTACTACTGGGGATTATGTTGACAAATGGCTTACTTCGGTTCTCCATTGTTTTGTACAGAATTTTGTCATAATTACGAACTCCTGCAAGTAAACATACTTTTGAGAGACTTCAGATGTAAAGATAGATCGAGTGGCTGGTGTCGATTTTTGTGACCTGTAGTACTATGGAGATCGACCTCATTTTGAATGCATCAACAGGTGCCGATGTTGTGCAGTTTGGTAGGGAATTCCACTAATTTACTACTCAGTGAGAAAAGTGGAATACGAGTCGCAAACGATTTGATCTGAACTTTCAAACCTTCAAACAATGTTTTTTTTTCTGATCGTCAGTCCTAGGGGGAAGTCTCTATTACTTTATTATAATAATTTGGAGGGTGATACGGTTGGGAGAAAATCCATAGACGTGGAGAATCTAGGGAGAATATTCCCCAAACCTCCCATATAAATATAGGTGGGTTTATGGAAAGATGTTTTGATTTTTGGAAGAAAACAGCAACATCTTGGAAAATAAAGAATGCTTCCCGAGCAAACAAAGAAAAATACAACTTGAATCACCATTTTATTTCCTCAGAATTCTCAATCTCCCTATTTCGAGGAAACTTTGGGGAATTTCGGACAAAATTCGGGGCTCTCCCCAAAGTTGTGAAAGGTTTGGTAGTTTTCCATAGTTTGAGGAAATTTTAGGGAAAACCCCCAGTTATAGGATTCTGGGAAATATTCCAGAAAACCCTGAAGTTCCCCAAACATTTTGAGGATTTTCCCCCAACCTGGGGAAATTTTGGGGTTTTGTGCTACTTATCCAAAGTTTTATATTGCGGCTTCCCCAAAGTTTACCCGAAACGGACAAAATTTTCCCCGAAATAAAGATATTGGGTTGCACTATTTCCCCAAAGAATCACCTGCAACTTACGAAAATAAGTTATTTAAACTACTGACACATGATCACCTATCTTTCCCTAAAGTTTGTCTTCATTTCCCTTTTTGTTTGATTAGGTTGAGATTACAACACAGATTTTCCGTGATAACACTTCTGGTTGAGAATGTCGTCCTTGTGGTTTTAAATCGGACACAGAACAAGATAAATAGGTTACTTACTCGAAGCATACCCATTATTATGAGCTACACCGTTTGTGTAGGCACCGGAGGATCATTGGAGTAGAGATAAGAGACATACTAACCGCGAAAAACTTTCAGTATTCATTAACAAGAGTAGAAGGTCAAACGACTTAAGTTAAATCTCTTGATTTATTGGTGGTACTAGCGTTCAAATCAGAGGTACACATATTTCGCGTCCCGATAAAGAATTCTAGTAATTCGCACGTTGATGTGAACAAGTAACTTAAACGTGAAAACATAATCTCAGTTGTGCTCAACAACTTTATGATCGATGATTCCAAACTCAGTCAAACCGGCAGTCAGGAATGAAGAAGTCGGAAGATATATCTGTAAGATAGTCAATATGCCGATAAACATGTAATCTAAGCTGACTAGTTGTTGTGACGAATGTGTGGCACAACGTGACCAAACTCCTTCAGTAACATTGTTGAGGTTAGCATGAATGTCGGAAACTTACAGAACTTCGTCGGGCATTTACCGTTACAAAAGTTTTCCTTGTTGAGCGTTACTAAAGAATAAGTTATAAGGATGAAAATGTGTTGTAGCGGTAAATAAATCCCCAAAATAAATAGCTATGTAAGTCTTTGGCATTGGATGCTGACCACATTAGTTTTGATGGACTCACCTAGCTGAAGGTGCACGGTCATGCATCCGCACCAGACCATGAGTGGGAACGCCATACTCAACCTCTTGCAATCGCTAGCCAGTTTAGATCAGTCGCTTCTCAATATATTGATAGCCTATCAAATATATCTTCGGACCTCCTCGCTTCTGACTTTTGATTTCACTGGGTGGACACGATTCATTATAAAAGGTGTTACTGGTTAAATTACTGCCAAAATACAAATACCTGTGGCATTTTCAGTGTGCTTCATAGACTTCCCTATGTCAGTATTTTGAGACTAGTGTTATTCCCACTGTGTGTAAAAGATCTTTCTAATCATGGAGACGATTTGTAGCTCAGGTGGGTGATTTTGGTGGAGTTTTGTTCTCTGAGCTGGATGGTTTGGTCGTGGAGCTTTCATCGTTCTTCTGAACGACATCATCAGCACAAACTTCAGATAGAAGTGAAGTGTTAGAATTTCTACACATGTGTTTCGCAGCTTGTTCTGTGCACCTCGATGTTGATTGGTTCTTGTTGACCTTAAATTTAATATTGTTTACTTCTTTGTTTTAGTTGTGTCTCCCATTGGTTTGATTTTTGTTCCTATATTTATGCATGATTTTCCTGATTGGTTGATAAACTGGATTGATTTCAATATGTTTGTTGATTGCTGATTGACCTGAGTGCCAAGCTTCTAGTCTAGACTAGAAGCCACGATATTACCAGTGATCAAGCCAAAAATTTGGATTCACTACGTAGACGACACCTCTGTCATCGCCAGAAAGGATGAACTGGAAAACACATACAAACTGATCAACAACGTTTTCAACGACATCAAGTTCACAATGGAACAGGAGTCAAACAACCAACTAGCATTCTTGGATATATTGATCACTAGAACTGATACAGGAAAACTGGAAACTCAAGTATATAGGAAACCAACCCATACAGATCAAATTCTCAACTACAATAGCAACAACCCAAGGGCTCACAAAATCAAATGCGTACACACATTGTTCAAGAGGGCGAGGACGCACTGCAGCACACTGGCAGCACGAAAAAATGAAGAGAAATACCTGAAGGACATATTTCAAAAGAACGGCTACCCAATCAACTTCATCAAAAAGCACCAACGGCACACAGCATCACAACCCAAGTCAAGCACAAAAATCAGTAAAAGGATCACCCTACCGTACATACAAGGAATATCAGAAACTGCAACGAGACTGCTGAAAACCTTCGGGATAGGTGTGGCACACAAACCAACAAAATCACTACAATCAATCTTATGCAAACCAAAAGATGAAATAACAAAGGAAAACAAATCAAACATTATCTACAAAATAAACTGTACCAACTGCGACAAACACTACATCGGACAAAGCGGACGTCCCCTCCACCTACGCCTACATGAACATCAATTAGCAGTCAAACGCCATGATATTTCTTCACTTATTTCAATACACGTGGATAACTACGGACACTCATTCGATTGGGAAAATGTAGAAATCTTAGACAGAGGAAACTCCAAAAACACCAGAGAATTTTTAGAAGCTTGGCACTCAGGTCAATCAGCAATCAACAAACATATTGAAATCAATCCAGTTTATCAACCAATCAGGAAAATCATGCATAAATATAGGAACAAAAATCAAACCAATGGGAGACACAACTAAAACAAAGAAGTAAACAATATTAAATTTAAGGTCAACAAGAACCAATCAACATCGAGGTGCACAGAACAAGCTGCGAAACACATGTGTAGAAATTCTAACACTTCACTTCTATCTGAAGTTTGTGCTGATGATGTCTTTCAGAAGAACGATGAAAGCTCCACGACCAAACCATCCAGCTCAGAGAACAAAACTCCACCAGAACCTTTCTAATCTCGTGTCATTACAGGTTTCACTGCATGGTGACCATATTATGGTATGAAATGCGATAAAAAATGAAGATGATAGTTTAAAACTTTAAAAAACCTGCAGAAATTATGCGAATGATTTGGAAGTTTGCATTTAATGATTCGTTATTCCAAGTACATCACAGTGTTTGTCAGTCATACTGGCACAAGCACATACAAAGCGAATAGCGTTGAGTTACCCGTCCTTCAGACACATACTGATGTGAAGGTCGTCGCCAATTAAGGACTGA